TTCAGGAACCCTTGCTCTTTGCCTTCTTTTAGCAAACTGTTTGTGGGCATCTGCTTACTCAGAAACCCTAAATTTGGTAGTCTGGTCTCTTTCCTTTCCTCCCTCCTTCCCTGTGCCTCCCCTCTCTTCCTTTCTTCCTTCTGTCCTGTGCCAAACATATTAGAGATAGCTAGAAATTTCTTTGTTAGGTTGCCTTTTTAATCCCTATTCCCTCCTTATTTTGTTGACTCTTAGTACAAGAAGATAACAACATGGAACAGGCTTTTATGAATGAACCTAAGAGTTAAGATAGTAGGAAATGAACTCCACCAATAATAATTTTGCATGTTAAATATTAATAGTCACTGTTTTCTGTTAAAAAATACATATAATCAAAGACTATTCTTCTGAATACCTACAAATGCATGGGTCATCTTCTATTTGAACTGGAAAGGAAGAAGGTAATCAACCTGGATACTTGTTTCCAAGCTACTAAATCTCATAGCAGTTAGATATTTATTTATTTATTTGTTTGTTTATTTATTTTGGTTGTTCAGGACAGGGTTAATCTATATAGTTCTGCTGGCCTAGAACTTACTCTGTAGACCAGGCTGGCTTCACAGAGATCCACCTAACCCTGCCTCATGAGTGCTGGGATTAAAGGCGTGTGCCACCAAACACCTGGCATGCAGGTAAGTTTTTGTTTTTAATCAGAGCATAAGTAAAACGCTAACCACTGTTGAAGTGATACACCACCTCTCTCAAGATTTTGACAAACAACAGGGGAAAGAAAAATATCTCACAGCCTAGAGTTTCAAGCCCTAAACATTTCTTTTCATAAAGAAAATATTATCCCAACCATCATTATAGCATATAGCATACCTTGTTCACTATTTCTTTCTACAGGAGATAAGTAGTTAACTATAAACCAGAAAAAAAAAAAAAAAACCAGGCGGTGGTGGCACATGCCTTTAATAAAAAGAAAAAAAAGACGGAAAAAACACAATGAAGTAAATTACTTACAACAGAAGAAAATAAGACTAGCCTCTGTTCCATGAATGTACGTTCATACCGTACTCTCTCTAAGCACTGAAAGCCACTTAAGCAATAAGTGAGTGTGGCCATGCCCCTCTATACTGTGACTTGCTGTCCTCTCTGGCAATCCTTGGCAATCCTGTCCCTCACATTGCTCTCTTTCCCTTCACATTGCTCTCTCTACTTTTCATCTGGGAAGACTTTTATATGTATTTTTAGTTAAGTGCTTGCTTATTTATACTAAAATGTATTAATTCAGGTGACTAAATTGACAGATTATTTCTTGCTATAAAATACTACAGTAAAGGTATCATTAGTAACCAAATAATTGATCCCAACTCTACTAGTACTGATGTATTATATTGTATTTATTATATTATATAATAATAATATTACAATCTGTAGCAAAAACTCCTATTGCACATATGGCTATAGGCAAATAGTAGGAAGGGCTGTAGCCATGACATTAAAAATGTAAATAGAAAACATGCTACAATGAAAGCTATTTAGTCTAATTATGGTAACACTCCAAAGACAAAGTGCCATGCCTTAACTTTTTAGCTTTGGGATTTTTTTAAGTCTTTAAAGTGCAAAAGAGTTTCACCAAGAAAATGCTCTACTTTAAATTTTATGATTCTTTTAATATATTATGAGCAAGCCCATTGTAAGCTAATAAAATTATTATTGACTCACAGGAAATATGTAAGAACTAACTAAAGATGAAAACCAGTACACAAAAGAATTGTGCAAATTTGAAAGCAAGACTAGGCTAATTTTCTGGCTTGTCTACAATTTATTAGTTTCCCAACAAAAATAAATAAAAGATTTTGAGCTGTTTAATGGCATGAAGCATTCATTAATTAAAAATTAGTATGTCTCTTTTATATTAAACAGTATATAAGTTATTAAGTGTACAACAGCCTTTCAAAACACAACTTCATCTTAGCAAGTACAATATATGTACCTTTTCATTTTGGCAGGTATAGTACATGAAGGAAAAGTTTCTGGCTGAGTCTAGCCAACAACCACAGTCATTCCAAGTACTGTGACCCATGGAGCCTAGAGCCTCAGCTCTGCAGATCTATATTAAAATTATGCTAACAGCTATGGATACTTGTGTGGATTTCACATTAAAATGTCACATGAAACTAGTCATGGATTCCCACTATGTGGGTTCTTGAATGTCATACAATCCTGAGTCAAGATGATTTATGTAGTTGTTTTACGTGGCATCTAGCATGGTCCCTTGAATTTCTCTGTCCAGCTCAGATCTTATCCTAAAGGTCAGTCCTGGATCTCCAACAACTGAAGGGACATTTCCACTGTAGACTCCACAGGCATCTGAGATTGTTGTGTGTCAACTCATCTCACTATTTTCCCCTCCAACTAGCTTCTCTTAACTCTTAATTCTCCTTATACCTAGATGCCTTGGGAGTCCAGCTAGATTCCTTCCTCTACCCTATTCCTCCTTCCTTTTTGCTAAGCTCTCAGCACACCAGCCTTTCCTTTTAAACATCTATGGAATCAAGTCTCTCTCACTCAAACCTCTGTTAACTTTTCTGGATTACTGCAAGAGCTTTGCACCATGTTTCTCTTTCAAACCATCCTTCACAATGCAGTCAGGATGACTGAAAAGGCAAGCCTTTCTGCTCACTCCTCTCAGGACTCATGTGCCCTGTGTCACCTGTGTCAGTCTCTTACAGCAGAACATGTCCTTTGGCACCTGCCCAGTCTTCCACCAGAAAGCCCGCCATCCATTCACTCAGCAAACTACGATCAGGTGTGGACTATCACATGTGAAGACCCTTCTGTCAGGACTCTCCATGATTTGTCACAATGCTCCCCTTTTAGTTCCATGTACTGGGAATTTCAGATCTCTGTGGATACTCCACAGTTAACTCTGAACTCTTCCTTTTCAACTTAGCCTTAGAAATGTTCATGCTTTGGGATGCCTCAGTCTTCCTTCCCTCTTCTCCACAGCAGTGAGGAGTGTCTCCCCTATGTATGATGACGCCATGACAACACTTTTGTATCTTGACTTTTTCCCCTTATGTTGTGAGCATCCTGCAAGCAAGTGCCTTATTATATATACACTTGCTAGAATCTAGAATAACGCCTGTTTAGTGGAAAATTTCATGCAGTGAACAGTATTTCCCAACTACAATATCTGTGATGTGACCAAAGTATACAATTGGTTACAGTCATTCTGATTCTCGAAAGCAACTAATCTTTTAGTGAAGAAGGCTACGCTTGATGGTTGCCAGGTGGTGGTGCACACCTTTAATCCCAGCACTGGTGAGGCCAAGGCAGACAGATCTCTTGTGAGTTTGGGGCCAGCCTAATCTAAAGAGGGAGGTTCGGGTCATTCAGGGCTACAGAAAAAGCCTATCTCAAAAAAGAAAGCTACACTCAACATGTTTAAATTGATAGCTATACATATACTTTTTCTTCCTTTAAGACAAAATTTATCAGTTGTATGACCACTTGAAACATTTTCTAGCCTTTAAGAATTACAATCACTAAGAACTTGGAATATACAAAATGATCTTAAAAACAATGTAAGTTTTAGGAGCAAGGGATACAGTTGAGTGGTGTAGCATTTGCCTGGGATGTGCAAAGCCCTGGGCTCAGCCTCCCACATTGTAACAACTGTGATAACAACCTTGTAAAGTCCAATACAGCTGATATTTGTCTTCTGTATCTTTCAGACATCAAACACTTAAATCAAGTACTATATAAAACATGCATTTTCCTTTTATCTGACACTCTGAATCCTTTACTATGTCATTTACTGCTCTGTGAAAACAGTTGTAAACATATTTATCATACTTTCAGCTATTCCACTTCTAATTGACTATTATGTTTTGAAAGAATAACAGATCACCATGAAATTAATGTATGATGAAACATCACTATCACAAATACTGTCTTAATAATACCCGTGAAAACAACATAAACACAGTAACTCTAGGACAGAGTTCCAAGAATGGAAACAACTGGCTCCGCAACCTCAACTTTCAAAAGCTCTGGACACAGGGAGGACGACTTCCCTGAAAGTCACATTCCGATCATTTCCCACTGTGCTGCAGAAGACACAGCTTGTCACCCATCAGTCTTCACATAAAAGGGGGATTGCATGTATTTTATCAGGGTTTAGAAAAGAGTAAGTGACAGGCCAAGTGACAAAGGTCATATAGCATCTAGGTTACAGACCTACCAGGTTTTCACAATAACCACACAAAGGAGGCCCTCTGCCACCATAAAGGAAAAACTGGGCTCCTTCCAACAGCCCATCTACGAAGTCCTTTGCCTCACGATCCTCCAACTTCAAGAACTGTGGCAAAGCAGCTGGTATGTGGGCAACTCCCTCACTCCTTCCTTCCTTCCTAACCTGCGGTGTGTGACAGACTGCTCTTCCCAGAGTGTGCTGCGTAGGTGTCTCATCTGTGTCTGCATCCAACTGCCTCAGTGGAAAACTAAGTTAATTCTAGCAGACTGATGATCCAGAGTTGTGAGGATTCACTCACAATGGAAGCCATTCCTGTACAGTTTTCTTCTTCATTCAGGAGCAGATCGGTATTACTGTGGGCATGTGTGTGAGTGTGTGAGTGTGTGTGTGTGTGTGTGTGTGTGTGTGTGTGTGTGTGTGTGTACATACGATCTTGGGTGTGCAGGTGCACATGTATGTGAGAGGATATGTGAAGGTCAAAGACAACTTCAGACATGGTTCTTTACCTGCCCACCTATCATTTCTGTGCTTCAGACAGGTCTCTCACTGACCTAGAATGGACCCAGTAGGTTATTAGCATTCCTCACACTAGTTTTGGGGACTGAAGTCAGGTTCCTGTGCTTGCACAGTTAGCACTTTACTGACTGATCTCCCTAGCCCATAAATGCCAATCTTTCAACATGGCTTCTTAAGTAATCACAGAGAGCAGTCTTTCGAATGGTCATTAGGATAGGCGCACACACTGATTCTTTCTTACCTTAACTATTAATCCTTTTGAGTCAACCAACCATATCTTTTTTATAGCATTCTCCTTTGACAAACCTTCTTTCTCCATGGCCATAACGATCAGGTGAGCAATCCCCAAGGCAGCCTAAAAAGAAGGCATAAAAATAAAGATTTCAAAACTTGGTCCACATGTACTATCAAGGGTATCACATCACCCCACTTTTGTCTACTAGCAAAGAAAAGCAAACAGCTCTGCCCACTGAGTTCCAGAGCTTTAGTCATCAGTTCACACTAGGAGCTAAGCATTTTTGTCACATTTGGGTGTGCAAAATGAGCACTATTCACTCCACTGAATTACAACACATTCACTGTGATACTGTTTGCTATTCGGCACAGATATGCCAGTGACACCGCTGACTGTCAGTATAGCCGATTCTAGTTATACAGCAGGGCTGGCACAACAAGAAAACACTACATTTAACACAACCACCTGCCAGCCTGGCTCACTGGACCATATGGCTTACTGTCAGAAGGACATTCCTCCAACTGAACATGTGCTCATTTGGACAGGATCATGACCAACTAGACAACAGCAGAAAACTGAAAGGAAATATTGTTGTCCAGCATTTATTCACTCTCTTAATTTAGGAAAAGAAAGCATTACAAAATTTCTCCAAATATTAAAGAAAGGATCTTATTCGGAATTTGATGAAGTATTCGATAATCTGTGACATGCCATAGACCTCATCTTTTCAGGAACAAACCAGGGCCCACAAGTCATCCAACCAGAAACTTCTGGAAATGCAGAGGGGCTTACCAGAAGAGGAGTAACATATGAGGGCTCTAAGGTAGGCTGGGCTGTAATTTCAGTTGGAAAGTGGATCTGTGATTGCAATCTGAATGCCTCATGGACTCACGTTAGCTCTAACTCACATTTTAAAATAAGCAAAATGAAAACACAGTGTGGACAAAATCCTACCCATGAAACAACTTGTTTTGTTTATACTCATTAAGTTTAATTTTTTTTCAAAATGCCTGTCTTGCCATAGTATTTTCTCTTTTTTGAATTCTGTAATTCTAGAGAGATTTGAAAGTTTTCTTACAAGAAAAGTAACATTTGATTCTGTTTGGGAGGTGAATTAGCTTTCTTCTTTTAAAGGAGTACTGACAATGATTTCAAGAAACTATATAATTTGATCTTAATACAATTTCTTCCAATGATTTCAAACGTCTTGGTTATAATGCTGAATAGTTTTGATGTACTATGCATCTTTAATTCAAAATGATTTTCTTATAAACAACTGCAGTTATATATGTACACGTTGGACTGTGAACATTTTTGACTGTGACAGTGGTGGATAGGCATACTAACTTAAATTCATTGAGGCTGCCATATTCAACACAGACTGGTAACTTCGTTCTGTATCAAGCCTTAATCAATGTGCATAACAAAGTCAAGGGTAACATTTGATGATCTCACAAATTTAAACTGGTAAAACGTCTTACACTTCGAAAGTCTCCTATAATGATGTAAGTGCCTTATAACTTGTGGAATCTTCCATCTACAGCTGTAATATAACATTAAGAGAGTGCTCAAGACCTTGAGTAAGTACTGAACTAAAGCTAGCCACATGTTAGTTGAGATGCAGTAAGCAGTACACAAGGCAGGTACCTCTCCAGCTCCCTGGAACAGCACTGTCTGATCAGAGAGCTTGTTCTTGGTTATTCGAAGAGCTGCAAGGAGACCCGCAACTGCAACAGACGCTGTTCCTAAAACAAGTAATAAATATCCTTGAGCAATCCTCAGATGGATCCTGTCAGACTCTAAGCTTTTAGCCACATCTTCAAATCACCAAACGACAGGATAACAGAGACAGAAAGAACCTGTTTGTCTGTCTCCATGCTGGCATATGAGGCAAAATTCTTAGGCTAGGGACATCAGTATTTTAGAACAGCAGCTTAAATCCTTCAAAACGCTCCAAAAAGGGGACCCTGGAACTTCTTTTGGTAGATAACAGCAAGGGTCTGGGTTCTTTTTTGGTTTTCATTTGGTTTTAGAGTTTTAAGGCAGGGTCTCGTGTAGTCCTGACAGAACTTTGAAATCTACACAAAGGAGACGCACAGGAAATGCTTGCTACTGATGGGGTTTCCAATACAGCTAGAATTCAATGTTTAAATTTGAAAAATTAGTCACTAATAGCAATTGAAATCTGGTTTATTGCATTCTTTGTCTTTATACCTGTAATTCCAAATAGACCCCAGGTACTAACAGAATGCATGCAAAGTAGGGCACGGTTGTTCTCATCATACCACAGGTACAGAAGTGACAACGCTCTAATCACAGGACTTCACCATGAAAACAGACCATGCAGTAGTGCTCTTGCTGTAAATAAGGCTACACATCTCAATCTCCTCATGGTTCAGTCCTAAAATAGGACTAAGTTCTTGCAATGCCTTCCAGCTGTATGGACATTTTACACCTCCAAGGTAACATTCTACTGTTTCAATATCACTAAGGTGAGCAGCAAAGTCTGACCAAACTTAAAATACCTTCACTTGGCAAAACCTAGACCTGAATAGATGCAAGTAAGACCACTGCAATGTTTATGAACTGTGATAGGTCATACTTTGTGTAAACCCATTGTTCTGTACATAATTTAAAATGGAAGTCTAAAGAGCTGATGATGTGACTCGGTGTGGAATGTTTGTCTAGTTCGCAGAGGGCCTGAGTTAATCCCCAAAACCACAACAAAAGAAATTCTGTACAAAATACGGCTGATTTATATAGGAAATATGCCATGATGTCTGGGCCATACACCAAGACACATTCATGAGAACTGTTAACATGAAATTAGGCAGGAACAGACTTCAAGTTACCATGTTGAGTCATTACTCACAAGCAGCATCTCAAGCTAGCTCTTCTTGGGTTCTTCCAGTGAAAACCAGTCCAAAGTTAGACTCTGGGATCTTATGATTCTAGGATATCTACTGATTGTCCCAATGTCACAAGATTTAACTAGCTGAAAAGTCAATGTTGGAACATTACCAGCATCACTACTTGGTGTTATTCAGTATTTTGTTTTGTTTTTCATGGAACTGGACAGGTGGAGACAGACATAAGAGGTTTTATTGTCTAATTATAATGTACCCTTGTCATGTGGTGATGCCAGTTCATTCTACTAAAATTCAAAATGTTTTACTGCAGACATGACTAAGTAGGGAGAATGAGTCTCCTCCCACTGTACTGGATACTAAGACATTATATGTACATTCCATAGCATTTCCTAGAGACATAATGTCTAGTCTTCTCTTTATAGCACTACTATTTAATGTGAACATGACTGTTTTCTTTTTTAGGTTAAAAAAATTTATTTTTAATGTATGAGTGCTCTATCTGCATGTACACCCTTATGCCAGAAGAAGGCATCAGATCCCACTATATAGATGGTTGTGAGCCATCATGTGGGTGCTAGCAATTGAACTCCAGACCTTTGGAAGAGTAGCCAATGCTCTTAACCACTGAACCACCTCTCCAGCCCAAGAACATGATTTCTGTACACAGTCTGTGGCTAATTTAAATTTCCCTGTAAAGAAGCAAGTGCAGAAAATTAAAATTTTATAAAAATGTGTTTGTAAAATAAATCACGTGATTCTTTTAATTCTTATATTAAAATTAAACTTAAATCAGACAGAGGGAAGGCCTGTCCTTGGACTGCTGGTGTTAAAAAGGACTTAACACTGTTAACACAATACTAAAGAGATGGGCTTTCTCTCAAAATTTAACAAGTTCTAGAGGTTGTGTGTCTCTAATATAAAATTCCCATTCTTTCAGACTCTCAAATTTTTAATGATTTTTTAATTTTATGAATGTACATGTGTATGTGTATGCATCTGAGTGCAGGTACCTACAGAGGCCAGAAGATGGGTGCTGGAGTGTCCAGTGTGGGTCCTGCGATTGAACTGTGGTCCTACGTAAGAATAGCAAATGTTCCTAACTGCTGAGTCATCCCTACAGTCCCCAAACTCTGAGTGTTTTAAGCCCTGACATGACAGCAGATGTCTCATACCTGATCTTACATAGCTAGATTGCAAGTGTTGAAAACTGTGTGACATCACTTGTGACTTAGATGTATATGGTATACCCTGGACACAAATGAACTTTGTGTTTGGATTTGGATCAAAGCCTCAAACTCTCTCATTATATTTATATAAACACTCATTCTAAAATTAGAAAAAATGTGAAATTTAAAATGCTCCTGTTAAATACTGTGGACAAGAGCTACTCTATCTCAGTATAAATTCACAAGTAATATGTCTTTAACACACACAGAAGTTTTGCTGTGGCTGTAAATCTCTCTGATTTTTTTCCAAAGAATGACCTCAACTGCTGGCATGATAATCTCAGTTTATAGCTGGATGATGGAATGTTCAAGGCCAGCCTGTCTCAAAAACAACGATAAAAGCAGACCTGGTTCAGTACACCGCAAACACAAAAGCAAATACACCGGTGCAGTAATTGTTAAACCTAATTAGAACTAAATATTATGTTATATAATTAACAAGACCAATTTGTAATGAAATAACTATAATCCTCACGAGCTATTAATAGATCAGATACCACTAGAACTGCTGAGGCAGAGGGTGGGTTTCCAAAGGCCGAGCTCACGGTTAGAGCACGTAGCACCTGGGCACGGCAGTGCAGGGCATGGGAGATGCCCGCAGCCTTGGGTGGGAGGGCACACAGCAGCGGAAGCATGTGCAAGACAGGAAGGCAGGGATGGTTCCCTGTGGAAAACGGCAGAAGGTGCACACAACTAGTGCTCCTCTTTCCCTACAAATGTCACTAAAGCAAGAGGAAAACATAGATTTAAAAACAGATATGGACTAGGAAGCACCAGGCATAGTGGTGGGCAAGGGATAATGCTATTCTGAAAAAAATGAAGTCAAATTTATTTACTTGATATGGAGGAGCACACTCATGCACTCTTCTTAACTGAAGAATGCTAACAGAAAGCAGCCGCCAGCAGAGAGCAAGAGAGCAGAGTTTCAGCAGAGTGAGAGAACAGCTACTAAGACAGGACAGGGATCCCCCACCCCGCCCCGACCCCAGGACACAGCCTAAAGCACCAAACGACTTTTAAAGCAAATCCAACGTCATTTAAGATTATTTTATATTACTAGTATAGTCAGCTATGTTTTTGTTTAATCAGGTAATTTTCATAAAATCGTATCTTTAATTAACACATTTGTTTCAAAAGAAGAAAAAAAAGTTCCTCCAAGGACATGATGCAAAAGCACTTATCTGCATTGCAGGGCTGAAATAGTTGCATAACTGTTTTCATTGACAACATCCATGGCCATAATGAGAAAAGAATAGGGTTCAAAAGATAAAAGAGAATAAAATATGAGGAGAAGGCCCGTCACAGGCACGCAGCTCTGAAGTGGAGAAATGGTCAGGGTGGTTTGCTCATTTCTAGTCAAAACTGAAGGACTTCCCGTAGGCTTTCTCTACTAAGGAATTAGATGAGCTGTTCTCAAACCTGATTTTCCTTTTTAAGGGTAGTATTATTCTGAAATTCCTGTGAGGAAATAAGCAAGCATTGTGTGTACAGGCATCTCGGATGAAAATCCAGCCATTTTACTGCCTCCACGTGGGCTGGCAAACCTGGAGCGTTCTCCAGCATCTTTAACACACCTCATACATCTCTGGACCTTGACTCGACCCCTGCATTAATTTCTAGACTTTACTTCTGACATGCCCCAGGCCCTAAACCTTAATTACTGGTCCTGAGAGACAGAAATTGTCACTCAAATTCCTGTTTTGTTTGGTGATTTAATCTTCTGAAACTGAACTCTGATTCCTATTAATTCTGTATAATGAGTCTCAATCATGTAACACTGGCCATAACATCCTTATACATATTTCTGTGAGAAGCACAAAATGCCAAGGTGTAAAATACTATAGGAGAAGGAGACATAGGTTTGTTGTGTTGTTTTTGAAGTACTGGGGATAAACCCAGAGCACTGAACATGCTAGGCAAGTGTCCACCACTGGCATGTATCCCCCAGCCCTCAAAAGGCTGCTATACCTCAAAATGAATTGATGACTGACTTACAGATGTTAGCCTGCACTGCAAAGTGCAGTTTGTGTGCATATCGAAGCCACTCCATCATTATACAGGGTACCCTAGAGTCAGGGCTACAACACATTAAAACCAGACTTCCTGTCTATAGCTCACATTTATTCTTCTCAGTACCTGGAAATTCTGGATTTCTTTCTGAGATCCTCTAAACACTCAATTCCAAGAAATCGGTAGCTTTCTATCCAGGAAGCAAGAGTACACAAGGGTGGGTTTCTTAGAAAACATCAGCACCAGATAACTCAATGGAAGATACCCATAATTTTATGAAATGGCATCAGGGGGACTTAATGATGGGAAGCACTTGGCCGAAATTCACTGCAAAGGAGACCGACCACAGGGAGAGCCAGTCGGGTTGGAGAGGAAATGGATTTGCTTTGGAATGGTTGCAGAATGAGGTAACTCTGAGATATCCAAGAAGAGCTGTTAATAAACAGATGAACATACCACCCTGGAGTTCAAAGAAATCCTAAATGCAGAAGTTACCCTGCGAGCTGAATGTCAGAACATGGAATATGACCTAAGAGAATAGTACTAAAGCAAAAGGGAAGGCCTGAAGTGCTCCGTCATGTGCTAGCCAAGGGGGAGAGTGAACAATGAGAGCAGCAGGAAGAAGTCAGCAGGTGCAGTGATGGGGCAACAGACAAGAGGTAGTCTCAGAAAGGACGAGCGACAGGGCTGAAGCTATGGAGACATTAAGACAAAACTGAAAAGCATACACAGCTGCAAGACGCAAACCATCCTGGTCTTCAGGTTGCTAGAACTCAGTAGCACCCTCTACCTGTCAGTCTTGTATTCACCATAGAGACAGGTGCCTAGCTGTCGAGGGAGGGAGGAGGACAGCAAGGAACAGACAATAAGAGCTTGAATAGAAAACCCCACACAGCTTAGACAAAGGTCCACAGCCAAAGCATGTGCCTGAACTATCAACGAGAATGCAGCAGACTATTGCTATGCCAAGCTGGCGGCTCGTGTATCTCAGCCAACAGGATGCTGTGTCTAAGGTCCCTCTGTACAGAGCGAGACACTGTCCCAAAAAACACAGAGATAGCACTTCCTGGAGTGAGGCTTAGAAACCAGCTAAGGAGTATATACAGATATATCCTTAAGCAACGTTCAGTCTATTTTCACAGATTTCCTGCTTATTAGGTCACAATAGCTGGAGATTTTATCAGATTTCTGGAAGCTCATGTATATATAATATAGTACATTCTAGAGTGCTTTCCCAAATGTGAAAGAGAACCAGAAATTATGACTAAAATCATCCAACATAAATCTTGCTTTTTTAACAGGTACCTAATATCTACTGGATCTGAATAAAAGGCTGTAAACTAATTTCAGATGTTATTATTTTTCATGTTTATCTTGTTAGATTTCTGTATATGTACCTTTTATATATGCATAGTTACATAATTCTATAATTTCATTAAAAGAATACAGCAATGTTGTTTATTTAAGGTTTAATTTGGGTTTTTTTGGGGGGTTGGTTTTTCGAGACAGGGTTTCTCTGTGGCTTTGGAGGCTGTTGTCCTGGAACTAACTCTTGTAGACCAGGCTGGTCTCGAACTCACAGAGATCCTCAGCCTTTTTGCCTCCCGAGTGCTGGGATTAAGGCATGTGCCACCAAGGCAGTTTAATTTGTTATTACAAAAGAATTTATATCTCATGGCAGAAATTTAGTGCAGATGAGATTTAAAGCATATTATTTTCTTACCACCTATGACTGCTTTCCAGAGATTATAACACTTTAAGAACAGAAAATTAATTTTGAAAGTTTCTGACCTCCCAAAGCTGTGAAAATAAGGAAGGTTCTGATGTGAATAATGGTGTATTATCCTATTGCATCCTAACATGTGCCTTCTCAGCTCAATTCTTCATTCCCTCTTATAACATGTCACTCCACAAACTTGTCCTTTTGGATCACTGTGATAATGTCTTAGTCACCTGCGATGTCAGTCCTTCAGTTTATTCTTGGTGTTTTTGTAATAGTCATCTGAAATGTAAATTCAGCTTTTAACCTTGTTCCTTTTTTGATGTGTATGGAGGGGTAGAGATGGGGTCATCAAACAACCTAGAGGTGCATGCCAAGCTCCTGTGTGGCTTGCATGTCTAAATCACTTTGTGACATGATCTAAATATCTTCACTGTGCCCCTTCCTGTCTTTGCTCACACAGATCATTGCATTTCTCTCTCATCTGAATGGAGACTACCAGATGTTATTCTTGATCCATACATACACAGTGAAATGTGATTACCTTGAATATCATCATTAAATGTGCAATACTTGTTTCGATACTTGTCCAGGAGACGAAATGCATTCCGATTGGCAAAGTCTTCAAACTGAATAAGGCAATTCATGCCATATCTATGAGGCAAAAACATACATTTTAGAAGTTAATGAAATAACATGTTAAGTAGATATTTAAATCTAGACCACATAAAAGGCACACCAATTTCTTTTAAAAGTCCTATTCTTAGCATAAATGTATAACACATTATCAGCAAGGACTGACATCACACTTACCACAAAAAAGGGAGTGGGCTGGTACCGTGGAATAACACCAAATGACAAAAATTCAGTCCAAAATATGATCCATATCCTCAAGGAATTTAAAACTCAGTAGAAACAAAATCTTCTGAGTTAAGTAAAAGGTATGTAAGATGTAATATAAAAGCTATGTATAAACAAAGGATTACAGTTATCCAGAAAACAGTGCTTCTAGCTACACTTAGAAGCCAACTGACAAACTAATGAAGCTTTAATTGACTATTATCTTCAAAGCTGAGATGCAGGGTTTATAAAACAAGGGAAACTAGAAGCAAAATAAATGAAAGGTGGAAAGAAAACAACCCTGTTGGGAAAATGTCAAACTCACTAATGGGCTGTAGTGCAGAGTGTATGAGGCCTAATCCTCCTCCTGATCCCCCTTACTCAGATGACCTACTCTGTCCATGCATGCCCAAGTCAGTTATCAAAACAGTCAATGGGATAACTCTCTGGACTCCCTCATCCCTTTGCTTTTTCTGACTCAGAAAACCATCATACTCTAGCAAGACAGTAGATAAAATCCAGCTGTAAGGTTTGGCTGGGATCATAGAAGTCCTGAGTACCTGTTTCCATGTTTGTGTGTACTTTAACACAAACCCAAGTCTTAGCCTTAGTGCTAGTAAAGAAAAATACCTTGCCCTGAGTCACATATAAACAAAGAGCTCACAGTTCTGGAGTCTCATGTCCAAAGTCAAGGTGGCCACAGACACTGTCTAGGAAGGACTACCTCCTAACAGACAGCATCTCCCTGCTGTGTGCTTGCATGGCAGAGGCAGCAAGCACATGCCTTCCCTTTAGCCTGTTTCACACTGGCACTAATCCCAGTCATGATGGCTGGCCCTCAAAAGGCCCCTCCTCCTCAGAGTTCCACATTGGGGATTAGTTCTAGTGTATGGATTTTGGAGGGACACACTCAGATAGAACAGCATCAACACATTGCTGTTTCCCTTGTCTATGAGTGCTCAACCTCTTGACCAGTCTCCACACCTTACTGAGAAATAGCTTTCCATCTTTACACTTGCTTTCTGGACCATCTCTACAAAGCTATGGCTTCTTCCATTCTCACAGTGTCAAAGTCCTCACTACAGAGTATGAAACTTTGCCCTCATTTCTCACTTCTTTCAACAATGAGGACAGGTGCAGAGCCCACTCCCCAGCATCACAGTGTAGATGAAGTCTTGCTCCAGGTCTCCCCACCACCATGACTAAGATCTCTCTAGGTCCATCATTCCACTGTTTTCATCTATTATAGTTACTAACATATTATTTTCATATATTTATCCTTAATGATCTACCTCCTAAAAACACTGTAACATTTGCAGGGTAAATTGGGACTAAATCAATCTTTCCTCCTTCCCTCCCTCTATAAAGTTTTTGTTATGTACAGAGGAGGAAAAGAACTCAGTCCTTTCTGAGATGGACTTAAGGTAGCCAGGGTACCACTGAGCTCCCCTTGACTCCTGGGAGGATGAACCTGCTCCCCCATGTACTGACGAACTCAAGACTGCCTTTGGAGACCTTGAGTAGTTCCCTGTGGCACCTTACCTCCCAAATCTCATCACACACTCACTAATGTGTTTGGTTATGTGCCCACTACAGTGGCTGTACTTCACCTGGCCAGGGTCTTGGTTACCTGTGGCCTTGTTAAGACCCTGGCCATGGGATGGCATGAAAACCTGGCTGCTGCTCTTCCATGGCTGCTGTGGTAGAAGACTGGAGAGTTATGTCTCATTTTTAATCACTAATAAAACTTAATATTGCTTTGTATTTCTTTGTATCTTCCAAATCTTGGTCATTTTTAATTCTTTCTGGGCAACTGTATGTTCTTTGATTCATTTTATTGTCCTTTTATTTATTATTGCAATAAGAAGTTTTTATATTTTAAGGATAATATCTTCTATGATAAACACTGCAAATTGATGTGGGATAATGCTCTTGTTCACTGTGAAGATTTGTCACTTGTATTGATTTAATAAAATGCTGATTGGCCAGTAGCCAGGTAGACATAGTATAGGCAGGGCTAACAGACTGGGAAAATTCTGGGAAGAGGAAAGGCAGAGATGCAGTCACCAGCCAGACACAGAGGAAGCAAGATAAGAATGCCTCACTGAGAAAAGGTACCAAGCCTTTTATGGGTAAAAGGTATAAAAGTTATAGGTTAATTTAAGTAGTAACCCCCTTTTTGTTAGTAATAAGCTTAAGCAATAGGACAAACAGTTTATAATTAATATAAGCCTCTGTATGTTTATTTGGGACTGAATGGTTACAGGACCAGGTGGGACAGAAACTTCCATCTACAGCAAATAGCTTTCCTAATCTACTACACTAAACCATCAATCCCTTAGATGGTATTTGTCTTAGATAGCTTTAATTGTCAACTTGATATGGTATAAGACCATCTGAGAGAAGACGCTCAACTGAGGAACTGCCTGGATTAGTGGCCTGTGGACATGTCTATGGGGGACTGTCTAGACTGTCAATGATGTAGGACAGCCCAGTTCACTGTGGGCAGTTATAGCTCTAGGCAGCCGAGATGAAACTGTACATGAAAGCTAGCTGAGTGTAAGCTGCTCTGTGAGCCAACAACCAGCATCCTCAATGGTGCCTTCTCTCCTTCTTTGGCCATGAAATGACTTCCTTGGTCAGAGATAAAGCTGTGTGGAATAGCAAGTAGGCCTACTTTGAATTCCTACCTTGGCTCCTCTCAATAATGGACTGTGGCCTGAAATTGTGAGCCAAATAAACCCTTTCTCTCCCAGGTTGATTTTGGTTAAGAGTATTTTTTACACAGCAACAGAAATGAAATTAGAATAGTGTTTCTGTTGATTCTGCTACAGAAACTTCAGGTTTTTATGAAATCAGATTAATTGATGTTCTTACGTATGGAATCACCTTTGGATAGCATGCCTATGACAGCCCTGGCACATGCATTAATTTATAATCCAAACTTCCTTCTAATACCATTGTGGATTTAGGAAATGATTAACTTCAAATTCCGTTACTACTTTTACTATCGGGCCATACATTTTAAATTATGAAAGTATTTTCTACATTGTTTCCTCAGTTATACTAACAATATTTAGAGAAGATTTGGCTTTTCTCTGTTTCTTGATACTGCTGCTACTGACAAATGTTTTGCCACTTGATAAGACAGAAGACACTCAATTACTCTTTACAACCACAGCATGGTCTGCCACTATTATTCTCATCTTACATATATGGACACAGGTACACATGATGACAAAGCATTAACAATGACAACTGGATGGTAACACTAGTCTGCTACTGTGTGTATCCATTAAAAAAGAACCAATGCCTCCTGGCTTGCACCTATATTGTTCTCAAATAACTTTAATATAGAATGTGGCTTGTTAATTTGGCTGCTATAGTGGTTCCAAGCCATAGGCTATGGAGTCAGAGCTCCCATATTGAACTCCTGGCATCCTTCCATACTATGTATCTTCAACTTTTTTGTGCCTCTGTTTTCCTATCAAGAAAGACATGAGCACTGTCTACATCTTTCACAGATTTGTTATGGGGGTTGTCTGAAATGATAAATATGTGTTCAGTTCAACTACCAGCAATAACTACTCTATAGTAGAGAGGTCCAAAGGTATTTAGTAGAGAGGTCCAAAGGTATTTAATAGTAACAAAAGTAACTATTAAATGTAAGATAATGGCCTTGAAGAGTACGAGAAAAGCACTGCCATCCTATACAGTACAGTTTGAAAACCACTCCTCAGATGAAGCTAAATCAAGACGGTTTAGGCGAAGCTACTTAAGGAACTTCAAAAAGTGTTTTTCACAAAGAAACTCATACAAGTAATAAAGCTCTTTTACAACTTAATAAAATGGTGAAATGCTGATAGATACAAGCAAATTTTGTCAGATGACACAGTGATGACAGAAGTACTTCCAGCTGAGAAAGTGAGGCTGACATATTAGATCTTCCAAAGCCGACAAACTTTTAGAGCAACTGTTTTGGTGCTACAGACTGTACTGAGGGTAGAGAGAAGAAAGGGGCTTAGGGGAAATTTGGAGAGTGGGGGAAAGCCATGAACAAAACAACTATAGTCACATATATGGTGCCATTTTCCATATTCCAAGGAAGCTCTCCATAAAATTATAAAGTGTTATAAAGATCTGAAAAGAAGCATTTCCATAGTTATAAATTATCACTTTTGAAAATGTCAGCAAAGAAGAAAACTTTGTGGTAGCAACTAAGTACCCCAAACACAAATATCAGTCAGCAGCCATCTAATGTTTGTGATGGTTACTTTCTAATTCTCTGGTTCCTAAGGAGCCTTAAGAAACCAAAAACTGCATGTCATTGGGCAATGCCCTCAGGCGGCTTGCTCCTGGTGTGTCATATTCTGGGGGACTAACAGCAGCAGATGCTCTGTCATTATGCTCAGAAGCAGCAGCCTGTGGTCTGTGAGGAGGCATCAGAGACTTCTCAATTCTATTCCCGGATCTACTAGTTACTTGGTTTGGTGGTCTGGGGCTTGTTACAGTTTCTCTGTGGTTGAAACGAAGTCCCTTCAGTGTGGTTTGCCTTCAGTGTTCAGGACACAGTGTATGAAGCTATAAATCTACAGCCTTTCCACAGTGCAATCTGGGAACAGTCCTAGGTAGTAAATCGGTATATGGGGCACTATCATTTTCATGTGCCTGTTTTAGAATCATCCTCTGGAAGATGCCACATACCCGTTTTAATTTTGTGACTTTTCCTACCTGGTAGTTAGCTCTGATTTCACTCCCAGAAATTTAAAAAGAGGCTTTCTGAATTCATCTTGTGATACATGAATCCTGCACCA